GTTGAGGGTGAAAATGTGGTTAAAAGGTGTACTGTTCAAGAGTTTTCCTGTGGAGTCCGATCTTGCGGGTGTTGGAATTTCAAACCAGAAGTCCCGGCAGAATGGACGGCCATCTTGAACTTTGCATCAATTTCTCGTTATAAATCTTGTTATTACTTTTTTTTTAAGCTAACCTTACAAAGGGTGATTTCAATGAATGGAATATTATTGTACACGGAAGCGTCCATGCATTTTTGGACTCAGTTTCTTTTCCCAAACAAGATGTCCATGTGAGAAACTGAAATTTCTTGGCATCAACACATTCTTTGGTTTGTAGATATATTGATGAGATGAAATGTCTTCCAAATGCTATGTCTGAAATCTGAGTCATGGTATTTCTTTATGGTAATTTTTTCATGAATGGTGAAGTGTATGGAATGATCTCATATATACAGAAATGATGTTCACCATACATAATTTGATATGAGTAATTCAATATACAAATAAAAAAATGGCTGTTTCGGAACACTGAATCTAAGCTTTGGGGAGGAAACGTACTATTAACTCAATTTCTTTCAAATCCAATTTGAAGGTGACAATTCGGTTCCTTACTCCCAAACGCTTATCCAGGTTACATTGCAGTATAAGATGGATTCATCAAATTTCCCCAGAATATCCAAACCCTATAAATCATCGAGTACTCCAGACATATTGTTGTTTTATTATTTACAAAATGTAAAACCACAACAATGAATTATCAACCGCGGAGATTCGTAATCAAGATAATACCATATAGGTGACCCACAATCAATCATCTGATCATCTCTAGACAATCAACTCACATGCAAAAATAACAAGTACCAAACAGGATCTAGGACACCCCCACTAAGAAGGAATAGTTTCCAAGGAAAACATAGAAGTAAAAAGATCATACAACAAAGAAAGGTATTCTTCATCCTTACTGTAGATAATCAGACATGAACTAGTTCAGCTCTCGCGCCTCTTCAAGTCGCGCAAAGCCTGAGCCTCAACATTCCATTAAAACCCATCTTTACCATATCCCACCAGGTTGCTTTCATTGCAAATATTGGCATAAGCAGTCATCAATTCAGCAGCCACCAGACAATGTAAGGTTGACCCTTCTTGTTCCACATCTCCAGAGAGCGATTATCAGGGCTTGAAACATTATATGTGCTCATTTAATCATTAATTGGTTGGATGCAAAGCCTGGAAAGCTCGTCTTCAAGCATACCAAGCGAAAAAGAGAGACAGCTATGTTGAAAGACTACTCAAAGCTTACTCGGTTGGTTTGTTTTGTTTCATTGCATTTAGAAGGGACACCATCTTTGGCAGAGTGAAATCCCAAAGCATGAGCAAACATCCTCTTCGCGGCTCCCATATGCTGCTCTTTCAAATTGTCCTTCGGAACAGCTATCTCATTTCTTTCGGTTCGAGATATGCCAACCCTAGCGGGTGTCTTATCAACCAGTTTCTGTGGCTGCTTCTTCCTTTCAGGATGTGATGATGCACCACTGTCAACTTTGCTGACTTTTGCTTTGCCACATGAGTTCTCAGTTTGTCCAGGCGGGATAGTTGTCTCTTGAAAAGTTTCCAACCTCGACAAGGTACCACGTTCTCTCCTCTCCTGAATGTTCATCTGATCATTTTGCTCTCCATACTCTTCAGTAGATCTAAGGCCAGGCGCCTGATTGGATGAATTGATTCTTTGACCAAGAGCATGTGCAATCATACGGCGGGCAACAACAGGAATTGTTCTCGTCTTCTGCTGTACGGGTTCTTTTACCTCACCTTCATCCACTGAAAATATCCGCTCACGGGCAGCCAGATAAGCTGCTTCTCTCTCCTCAAGTGAGAATTGAAATGTAGGTTTTTCAACCTTCACTGGAACAAACATAAGTAGTTCAGATTTTACACACTGAAAATCTAGATTAGCAATCTAAATCCTAGTTCCTAACACAAGCAGAAAGACAATGCAACTTCACTTCTGAAGCAATATGTAGAACAGTAAGATCCCTTCCACAATCGCCTCTGTCTAGCGATTCTAAAAAAGCAAATATCACAAATGCTCTGCCAATTTCCAACAAGGCAATTCTTGCTATATGTAAATGATTCTTGCCTTGCGAGGCATGTATTACATAAATTGGTTTGGTGCATCTTGCATGATAATTTTGATTTCACCGTATTCTTTCCATATTAATCAACATTATGCTATTTCACAAGTTTGAAAATATGGACTGTTGCCAATTTTGAATAGGTAGTAGCTTAACATAAACTGTTTTGTTTTACTTACACACACACACACACACATATAAGTGCTACATGGTAATAAACTAATTGTCAATAACGTATGCAAACCATATAACAGTATGATACTTGAGTCGTCGTGCTATGAGCGCTACTAGGTAATAAGATGTAGACTATACACTATATATCAGCAGAAAGATGTACAGACTTCTGTAGCAATGACAAAGCAAATTCATGTGAAATTGCAAAGCTACCCACCAAATGCTATAAAGAAGCATTGCTTGCGTGCATTGTTCACTAAAAGTCTCCAGAAAGTAAAAATTGAATGCAATGAATATCCATTCTTTAAAGTTCCAAAAGAAAGCAAAACAGGAGATTCTAGCTAAGCCCAGCCAAATTGACCATGGCTCATAAAAAATGCAGAAAGCTCAGCCTCAATCCCCTGTTCAGGCTCATTCAAGTCTCAATATTGCTCTGACTAAGCTTGGTTCATTTTAACTTCAATAGCCTCAAGCACAAATAGTTTGGCCAGAGTTGGAAGGAAAATAAAAGCACAAACAAAAACAACTGTTTTCAGCACCTGAGCCGCATAATGGCAGAAAGGAAAAAGATACGCTGAGGGATATTGATTTAAGACCACAATTTCATCAAATTATGAACCAATTCATGCCGAATTTTCTATACCAGTAATGTTTAACCATTTTAAAGAGCTTTTAGGTAATGTAAAGAGGTGTTTTGAAATCAACTTCAAGTTTTAAATAATATTGAGAACTACAGATGTCAATTACAGATGAAGCATTTTATCAAGGTAGTCTTGGAAAACACACGACCTCCAGTTCTGTATATGTATCCTACTAATTCATTAGATGCAACATCTTAACATCTCCATGTATTCATCTTGGTCTATATTACTTGTTAGGCGTAAGGATGGTATTTGTTAGTGCATTCCAATACTTGGTAAGTAACAGTCAAGAAGTATGAAAATGTAGTTAGCATGATTCAACTGTACATAACACCTATTGATCAGCAATACTCTGAGGCAAATAACAGAAGCAACTCAGTGGCCTACATATGCTTTACTGGAAAAGAAACAATTAACCTGGGGAAGCTTCTTTTCTCCTTAGTAATTGGTGTGACATTGGAGATTGATAATCATCATACTGCCACAATAAATCACTGACGAGAATGGAAGGTCTGCATTTTGATCAACATAGGTAATTAATGAAAAGAGAACGAAGAAGGTAGTTTCAAACACTGCGAGAGCTAAGCAAGAACAGAACAGTTGCAAATACAACAAATGTAACTCGAGTTCAACAGAAATCAAACATTTTCCCAATTAGAATTTGTGTATTCAACAAAAATACAAGAACACGAATCTAAGCTCCCATAATGGTTCGCGAATATAATATAATATGCCAACAAAAATCCAAGCTAAAATTACAGTTATCAAGGGCTCAAAATCAACATAATAAAATATCACTTCCTTTTGTATTAGTGCAGCCCTTGGAGAGAGAGAGAGAGGGGGGGGGGGGGGCTCGGCGCGCAGGGGGAGGGTGATCTCAACAGACAGCAATGTAATTCTATTGACTCTCGATACATATTGACCTTTAAGTAGGACACTCAATAACCAAAGTACATGCAAAGAGACTCTGCAGACTCATACAGGAAAGCATTCCAAGAAAAGTTAAAGGGCATCAATTGGTTACACTGAGATCAAATAAGCTAACCACATTAGAAGAAATATCAGTGTAATAAAATTAATATAAGTTGTAAACATCATCTACCATCCAGCAGTGGAGCCATTAACCCACACATGTCCTCATGGCTCTGAATGTTGATCTCTTGTCCAAACTGACCAGGAACTTGAACTTAACTAATAACATAGGCATATCAGAATGGCCAAACAAATTGACAATGTTAAAAAAGATGACAATTCAGTAGATTTTTTTTATCTTTATATAGTGAGACAGTGATTTGTGAATGGAGTCAACCAAACCAATCTTGCAGTTAGAAATTCAATCCCCCAAACAATAAATGGGAAATCCACACACAAACACACGCGCGCGCGCGCGCACACACACACGCTCATATATATTTGGATAGTCAACTAAGTTTGCACTAGCCATGAAAATCTATTTCCATCGTCGAACTTTATTTACGGTCCAAATATATATATTAACATACATTCATAATATTTGTATCTCATAGTGACTCAGCCAAATTAGGATTGAATGGGTTAATTGATAGAATAAATCTCAAGCATATAAGCTCAAAATAAATTGAAAAAGGCTATGCTCTACTAATAAACTGCAACATGCTAACATGAATATGTAGAAATACATTGGCACAAACAGGTGCATATGAAAAGGCTCCATTCTATAATCATTATTCAAGCCAAACAAGAATTAAAATAACACAGAGAGACAAAAGTGAGTGATATTTGAATAATAATCTGTAGAATGCTGAGTAGAACTTCTTGTCTTTTCACGTACATTGACGTCTCTGGACAGCGTTCCAATACTAAATGTCGATTATCTCCTTCGCCAATTGATTGATGGGAAAATCTAGCACATTAAGACAATAAGTAGCACTCTCAAATGACTATTATATGGGGGGAACATTGAGATACACCAATTAGCATAAATATCCTCTGGTAAAGTACCATTGCAATAATATAAAAAATGGAAAACTATGCTTAAAAAGATACCCAAAAATATCTGCAAGACGATGCAAGAGAAGGCGGTCATACGGATTCATTGGTTCCAGCTCCAGCACACCATCTGAACTGCAGAGAACAATTTTCATTTTTAATTTTTTATACATTCCCTTAATAACACATACACTTTCCAGTCATAAACTAAAAACATTAACATTATTAATTAAATGCTCTGCACAACTTTGAGGCAAGAAAAATAAATTTTTGTAGGCAGCATTAAGAATAAAAAATGATCACCAACACCAAACATAGGCTGTTTGTATCAATGACCATTTAAAACTAAAAAGAATCCTTTTTCAGCATATTATGGCAGATATTACATATTATTATGGGTTGATTGTACCAAAATCATAAAAAAAGTGTGAAAGTTTTTCAGGAAGCATGAGGTCTCACACCATTGACCCGATAAATCCTCAATCCCATGGATTCTTCTAGTCAAACTAAGTAGACTGATTAAACTATGTGCAACAAAAGTGAACAATAGATACATCTACGCATGCCTCACGTGATGTCACCTGATCATTAATAATTGGTCCCTTTTTCCCGTGTTCTTTAGTGGATAAAGTTTTTCACTTTAGAATGAATCTTTTATGGGCCAAGATCAGCTTTTTTTTTTTTTTTTTTTTTTTCCATTTATTGGGGAAAAAAAATTGACATTTTTTTTCGTTTTCAAACTATGAAGTGTACTACGGACATTTAACCAATCAATGGGACATAGAGCTAATAGGGTGGTTGTACTATGTATCACAAAACATCAAGCAAATTGATCGACACTATTTTAATGCAAAAAGATAAAGCAGCCCAATTAAATGGAAAACAGAAAAGAAATCTTTTTCTTTCCTTTCTTTTCTAAATCATCATTGCATAAAATTATATTATCTATGCAGTGATAAAAACACTCGTCTTCTGTAAATCTTTGTTGCTAGATCTGGTATTCAAGAACAGAAAATTAAAATAGAATGTGGTATAGAATGAAATAATCACTCCTAATATAATGTTTGGTTGGAAATTTGAGATGCATGAATGTAATGATCATTTCCATTATAGTATTTGAGTAGTCCAGTTCAAATGTAGAAATGAAAGATGTTTAATTTTTTCTAAGAAAAAAACTTCTAAAAAAGAATTAAACTACTTTTTTTGTCCCGGTAAATTAGAATTAAACTGCTTTTTCATCAACGAATTTGAACAATACTTACTAACTTTTGAATAAAAGATGGTCATTCGTAGACTTCCGATCATATAAATAATGTCAAAGCTTTCTAGAAATATAGATTTAAGAAGATAAACACAAGATACATACATAATAGATATTACATAATACATTTTTATACATGTAAGTATTATATTTTATATTGTTCCTATAAAATAAATATGATAGCCCTGGTGCCTTAGGTCTAGGGTACTCCTATTGTGTGCAAATCCTTGGAGTGGGGTGTGCGAGTACCAACTAGGAAAAAATAATAATAAAACAAAACAAAATAAATATGATACAAGTAATATATAAGAATTTCCTGCCTTCAAGAAACATACCTAAAAGGCCACAATATCAAGATTATGTCAATGAAATTTAAACATGCCTAAATGGAAACAATATTAAATCACATAAACGCTATGCAACATACCTAAAAGACAACAACATCAACATCACATCAATTCAATGTAATAATAAAATATAAATATATGTTCAATATATAAGCTAACAGCTTCTCGTTACATTTTAACCATCCCCCTTATACGCAATACAGCTCTAGACAACCCCAAGGGGTTGGCTCAAGTAGGTAAGAACTTGGCCCTGGCGCCTCAGGAAGCATCAGTCTAAGGTTCAAATCATTTTGGGCGCAGACAATTCCTTGATGGGGTGTGTGTGAGTATCAACTAGGGAAAAAAAAAATACAGCTCTAGACCCATCTCACTCATACACATGGCTTTTTTTGGAACTCTTAGTAATTATTTGTGTCGCCTTTTCATCATCATATTTTTCTCATTCAATCTTGCCAAATAATTTTACAGCGAGGTTAATCCATTGACCATTACCAGACTTTCCGTTCTACAACCCATATGTGACTCGTTTGCTTCTTTTGCAAGATTTGTTCCCTAACAACAATTTAATATGGCTGCAATGTGAACCTCATATAAGTTGTTACAAGCAGCATCATTTTTTTAATCAATGCAAGTCAAGTGGTTAGGCAATCGACATTGATTGTGTCAAATGAATGTCAATCGTCACTCCATCACATTTGTCTATCAAAATATTGAGCTTGTTCATATTGATTGCATGGATCTTTTTCTCTAGATACATAGTACATGTGTCAAAGACACTTCCACATTGGACCTTATACAAACAGGAATACCAGGAGTTTTGGAGTCATCAAAAAGAGAATCGTTGCTTGTTAAACAACAAAAATATCTTAAATTTTTGTACTGCATGCCAAATGCTCCAATAGAAGGGAATGGTTTGATTCGATTTAGTTCCGTTGCACACCTAGTTCACTTAGGACGCCACAGCTTGTGGACGGTTACGACCTTTATAATCTTAACCTTTTGAGTATCGCTGTTAATAACATTAGAAATTCTCGAGAATTTTTTGAGCTGCATCGCAATGGACAGACTGAATTAATCATTGATTCAGGAACAACTTTTACTATACCAAAAGTTGACTCATTGATGTCACTATGTGCGATTTCACCACACTAGGGGTGACTTGTGGGGCGATTTGAGTTTTGTTAGGTTGGGATGAAATCCTTTCTGGAAATTGCAAGATTACCAAGAATCTTGCTTGGTGGGGAAGTGAAGTCGGCAGTTCCTCACCGAGGACCATCGTTGTATATTGACGGGGAGTCTGTCGGAGGAAGGAAGTCAGTCATTTCCTCTTGTTTGGTCGGAAGGTTTGATAAGGAAGTGGAGAGCTGTGATCGTGTGCAAGAATGGGCAGCGCGGGCTTGGAATACGACTTGTGGAGTGGGGGTAACACCGTCATCCGATTCACTGCTTCTTTTCCGGTTTCCTTCTTAGGCAGAGGCCAAACGCGTGTTGAAAGAAGGGCGACAACAGTGGGGTTCTGCAACTTTTGAGGATCGACATGTGGTCCTTCCGTGTTGGGTGTTGTGGCGTTCTTAGTGATAAAGGTCTCAAGCAGATCAGGCTGTTTGGCCTCCCTTTGCATCTCTAGTGTCATGCTTTGTTCGTCGAAGTGGGAGAGCTTTGTGGTGGATACGTGAGATCTAATGTGGATGAGACTAGGGATGTTGAAAGCGTTCAGATAACAGTGAGATCCGGCCGTGAATGTCCAAAGTTCGTGTTTATTAATGACACACCTTTTGTTACAAGGTTGCGATTTGGGAAGAAATCTCGCCGGAGCTTGTTCCTTCAACGGAGAGTCTTGAAGGTAGTGACGGATCTCATCTTATGTTGGAAGAGAAATGGAATGAGATTCTTAGTAAAAGGAAAAGAGGGGGTTCTCGAAATTCAGCAGTGGCTGAAGGATCGCGAAATTCAGCAAGCAGTGAAGTACATAGGAGGTAGAAGACGAAGTGATCTTCACGCGCCGGCCAAACGCGTCGTTGATGAGCAGAGAAGGAGTACACGTGGAGATCGACGGGGTGCTCCTCCTGATTCGGCCTTATCCTTATCTCTTGATGATAAGGTAGGGGAGGATTTGTCTTTTTGGGCTAAGGATGGCAGTGTGATGGGCCAGAAGATGTCTAGACAGGCTAGGACTGGGCCTGGTCTTAATATTAGGCTCATTCAGCCTAAACCCAATAGAGCAAATTTTGGTTCTGGGCCTTTTCGACGGGTACAAAAAAGGCCGCTTAAATTCGGGCCACGTGGGCGGACTTAGGTTGGGCCTATTAGATCTGGGCCTAATAGAAGGGTGCGAAAACGGCCAAACTCTTTATTTGTCTCTTTCCCAAACACCAAACCTGGCCCTAAGCCATTTAAAGAAGTACAAGCCCATGCTAAGCCTTCGACCCATTTGCTGAAACCCGAGCGGAGGATGATGGATGTCGGTCGCCATGGATCTCGGTGGACTCGGAATGAAAAACATAAATGGGTTGCACGAGCTCACACTTCAATTTTAGGTTTGACTTCTGATCATTCTCAAAATGCTCTCTCTACTTCTACTTCTTCTTCGGGTGGAGAGGTGAATAATAAGGATGTTGTGGACGATGTTTCGATTTAACAAAGGGGTCTTTTTGGGTCTTCAGGTTCATGGTGTGATGGGTCAGAGTTGGATGTCTCAAAAGCCATAACTGGGAGTGTGGGTTGTTTCAATGGAGTGACAGCTTGGGTTGGGAAAGATCTGCACTTCAAGTTTAATAATGACTTAGCTGTAGCTCTGCTTAAAGAGCTTCGGCTCTTTGCTACGTTTGAAGGTTTGAACAGTCAATCATCTGCGAATGAGGTGATTTTGTCAACTGAACATGATGATTCGGAAACGGAGGGGAATATGCAGTTAGGAGTGGTTAATGTTCCTTCTCAGCAACACTGTTCTAAAGATTCTTTTTCCGGGATGGATTTTGATCAATCTGAAGTGGATTTAATGGAACCTTTGGCAGTTGTACGGCCAGATTGTATGGAGACGACCATTGATCTGGGCATGGAATGGGTTATCGAGAATATTGGAGCAATAAGTGAAGCATTGGGTGTCTCTTCAGAAGGGTACGAGGAACAAACCTTGTCTATTCTTCACGAAATTGTTGCAAGAAATGGTAGTATGAACCTAATCGTGGCCCAAAAGAAATCAAAGTCAGAAATTCACATCGAAAAGGCGAACAGGAAGTGAAGAATCTGATTTCTTGTGTTAATTATGACGGGAAGAATGGGACGACCAAAGAAAGGGGAAGAACCAGAAGTGGTAAACCGGGAGGAGGAGGAGAATTGATCGTTTTCGGTTCTACATGAAGCTACGACTTATAACATGGAATGTTTGGGATCTAAATGATCCGAAAAGAAAAAGAGTTGTCAAGGTAGCTTTGAGGAAGTGGAGTGTTCATGTCGTTTGTTTACAGGAAACTAAGATGGCTGCTATCACCGTTGAGATTGTCAGGAGTCTTTGGGGAGGTAGGTTT